GAAATGTCAGAGATTGAACCTGGAATCATCTGCAGGCAAAATGAAGGTGCTATACCACTGAGTTATGGACCTTCCACCAACACACACTTGGCTTGCTTAGCTAAATGCAGTGCTTGGTTACTGCCACATTACAGATCCAGCGCTTGGGTCCACCACTAACTATGAGCGATGCTTTCGGGGTGATGTGTCCAATTCAGAACCAGTTAAGAACAAGTGTTGTTTCTCTCCTATGACATTCAAGCTTCACACGTCTAATCAAACTGATGGGAAAGGAGTTTACTCTTCTCCTAGTGATGTATGAGACATGAAATGAATTTCACGCACAATTAAAACCTCGCCACTCTTTGATTTGTCATAATTTATAAGCTGTTTCGAGAAGTGGTATGGTGATTGCCCTGTATGACTACTCTGTAAAAAAGCTCATTGGGGGGAACACCAAAAAAGTTTAAGTAATGTCATATTAGACATATCAGCCCTTAAGCACTTTTTAATGGCAACATTTAACAGCTTTTATACTTTTGACAATGAATTAGATGCACCAACACTGACACGTCCCGTATTAATGTGCCATAAATAACATGTAAAAGTCTATTAAGCTGGTGATGAGTGATCAAGAAGTGTCTGCATTTGGGGAGTAGAGAGTGTCTTATAGACCTGCCCTTTGAGGTGCTGAGCAAAGCAATTTCCTCCGTACTCTCCAAAGACAGTGGGGGCTTTGCCAGAGGTTGCCAGAAGGGACTTCGTGGGATCTCGCTTTTAATTCCTATTCTATGGGAAAGGCAAGAATGAAACTGGCTGTCATTAAGCCGATACTGATGTATTTTATGTTCCCAATCATAGCGGAGGTGACTTTTGCTCATACAGTATATTTCCGTGCCACTAGGGGATCCCTTTGCATTCAATTTCGCTGTAATAATATAGAGCTTCATTTTCTTCATTTATGCTATTTTAGTTGCTGTGGGAAAGATATTAAGAAAGAAAGAAATAGCTATCTGGAATGAGATTATGGCAACACGATAAATTTTAAAGCCCTTGGCTCCATCTTTATGTTTTGTTCTTCCACATAGGAAGCCCACGGAAAAAAAAAAAGCTTTGTGACAGAGCCCCCATAAATATTTTATATACTGCATTGTTTTCGAAGCTTCATCTTACTATCATGGGCACTAGTCAACAAGCACTATTTTCTGAGCTGTAAAACATATTGAATATTGGCTCTTCAGAATGACTAAACATGCAGTAACCATTGCTCTTTGAAGAATCATGAGTGCAGTAGCTGAAAGTTAGCTCATCTTTGGACTCACCTTGAGAAGACAATATATTCACAGTATCCTATGGATTGTTAAGCCATGCACAATGGAGTGGCTCCAGTGTAAATGAGGGAATAAATATCTCTTTCTTTTTCCTACTGAACAGCATAGCTGCTGCCGCTGCTCCTGCTACTACTACCACCACCACCACCACTACTACTACTATTATTATCAAATTTATATACCACTTAATTGCCAAAGGCTGCATTCTCATGTGGGGTTTATTCCACTACTTTTACTGATTATAAGGCTAGCATTTTTGTCCAATTTTCTAACATCCCTTCCACACTGCAGTACCTATATGCTGCTACATCATGCTAAATTTCATTCACACCAGTAGTTGTACTGCAGCGTGAAAGGAAGGTCAGAAATTGGGGCAGAAGCGTTACCATTATAATCATCACCTGTAATGGGTTTAGGGGTTGCTCGTGCGTAAGTTGCCGCCACTCCTGGCTAGGTCACCTGGTTGAACCCTTTCTGACCGGACAGCCTCTAGCTTCGTGGCTGTCTCAGTCGCTGGCAGAATCCATCAGTGGGCGTTTCTTGAACTTCTTCCAGCACAAAAGTTCCTTGACACCTAGTCTCCGCCTAGTCTCCCTGCGCGGAAGCCTTCTGCGCAGGGAGGGTGTGGGCAGCGGAGGACCCGTACTCTCTCCGCTGGTCTCCGGCGAAGAGTCTTGGAGCCTCCTCTCCGATTCCCCCATCTGCCCCCTTTCTCCACTGGTGTTATGCTGATTTCCTTCCCCAGCGGACGTGCTGCCTCTCTCCCTGCTGGGACCCTCTCCGGCATCCCTTTGGAGCCTTCCCTCCGCCTCCAGCTCCGATGGCAGTTCCCTGACATCACCTGTGCTCAACAGTAGAGGAAAGCAATTTCTGCAAGGGAGGGCAGTCGGCTAAAGGATGGCTGGCTTAAGGTGCTTGTTCTCTTGGGGGCTGATGGCCTTTTCTGTGCACATCTTCCCTTGGCAGAAGTTTGACAGCAACAGTAAGCTGGAGAAAGAGGATGTGGAACCCTGTGCACAGCCCTACACAAAATTCCAGCAATTTTCCAGGTTTCCAGATACACATTGTTTGTTTTTTTACAGAATCAAGTAGCATGGAAATGAGTGCTAAACTTGTGCTATATCCCATTAGTTTTGCTGGCCAGTTGCTCAGCAATATTTACGTTGTGGGTGAGTGACACCTGTGTGCAAAAGTGCCAACTCCCTGGGACCCTGGGTGCCCAAACACCTACAAAATTCCCCATGAAGGGGCTGGGCACTCACAAATTTCAGTGCCAGAGCCATGCACTCTGCATGGCACCCATGGCCTCGTGCACCCATTGTCACGGGGTCAAGCTGTCACTCTTGCCTGTCTGCTCTTCAGGGTATCCTTTGCCTGCACCTGGAGTGGGAGAGCTTTTTTCAGCTTAAGGGCTGCATTCCCTTGTGAGCAACCCCTGGGAGAGTTGTATGCCAGTGGCGGACCAGGTCAGAAATTCTGGACATATGGCAACCCTAGAACAGTCAACATTCCATCTACGCAAGAAGCAGCCGTCTGTGCACACAAACAGCCCTCTCCATCTCAGCAAGCCAAAGACATTATCATAGTTTAAGGGTACAATCCAGCCAGCAAAAACTACTCAAGATGGGTACACAGCAGTGCACGTGAGGGGCACAGCCTGGAAAAGGGTGTGGCCTGAGCCAGGGGTGGACTTTGGTAGTCTTTCATGCAAGGCCAAAATATGGTGCCCTAAAGGGATCTTCTTAAGCATGGGTAGGCAAACTAAGGCCTGGGGGCTGGATCCGGCCCAACCTCCTTCTAAATCTGGCCCACGGACAGTCCAGGAATCATCGTGTTTTTACATGAGTAGAATGTGCCCTTTCATTTAAAATGCATCTCTGGGTTATTTGTGGGGCATAGGAATTTGTTCATTCCCCCCCCTTCAAAATATAGTCCAGCCCCCCACAAGGTCTGAGGGACAGTGGACCGGCCCCCTGCTAAAAAAGTTTGCTGACCCCTGTTCTTAAGTATGCCCTGTGTGAGGGGAAAACACTTGCACCGCCCTAAATCTAGTGCTGCCTAGTCTGGATAGAGTGGATTGGAGAGCTAGACACACACACCAGGCCTGAGTTCCCTACTCACACAGCAACTATTTTTGCACCTACTTGTAGCAGAATTCATGAATTGTTCTAGAGATGCCAATATGGGGGGGGCATGCAATGCCCCTCCCCACTCCAGTTCTTTACACAGGGAATTATTCTTCATATGCACTTATCTATCTGGTTCTCCTGATGTGTAAAAGAAGGCCAATGCATCCATTTATGTAGAACTATATAAGAGGATTAGGACAGCTGTTGGAGAGAGAAATTTAGTGACCCAGAGGGAAGGCACAGATTGAGGAAGCATTTCAGCACCAACAGGATAGAGACAGAGCAGGAGGGACAGGGAGTGTTGGGAGCTGAATGAAAGCTTGTTTAAACAAAGGTCTCTATTTTATATTACACCTAGCTCCTTGACAACCTTTGGCGATGTACTAAGAATAATCTTCCAGAATGCTGTTAATACTTGGTTTATTTATAATAAACAGATGCTTATACACCTTCCACCCAAAGGTAGTTTGCAATCCAAACCACACAATTAAAACAATTGCAACAAACAATTCACCAGATGGGATGGCAAAATCAAATATTAGAAAAAAACAGTGACAAACTGGATGAATCAAGATCAGCAGGCAGTTTTGTAAAAGGCATGAGTAAACCGGACATGTTCACCTCCCTCCTTCCCAGTGAATTCATTCAAGTATATTATGGCATTACCGTTTTTTTGTTTTGTTTTTAAGGATCTTGCTGTTCTGCCTCCAGCCTTAGAATCTCAGAGAACAAATTGAGATCTCCCTCAATGACTGTAGTGTGGGGGCAAGTGCATTGAAGAGGATACCATTATTCGATTTAAAATCCCACAAAGGCTTTAAAGGTAATACCCTATACCTTCAAGTGCGCCTGGAAACTTATTTTGGGGTCAATTCAATTGATGTTATGATCTGCATGGTGTGATCAAGGAACTAGGCCAGATATAGCCAGCCAGCGCCCTGTGAGCTTGATCTGGCCTTCAGAGCAATCCTAACTGGCCTTTGTCAACCATACCAAATTCAGATCAAGATATAATAAATTTATACCCAGGCTAACTCATAACAAAAAAATGAGCATGTATTCTAATTTCAAAAAGTACAGAATTTCCAGATAGCTCTCTGGATATAATATTAGGTCTCCCTGGATGTGGTGGCTAATTATATGCATTTGCAAGTGCATGTGATTTGCTGCATAACTGCGAAACTCTTAATTATAGGGAAAGGCAACTTTATTATATAGCAAGGCAAATGATTAATCTGTGATACAAAGTATACTTCAGATCCATGGGCTACTGTATGGAAAATACTAACACCCTGTCCCACAAGTGTCTTGGAGTTGGCTATCCCTTATGTCAATCATTAAGACTGCTTTCAGTAAAAATTGCAAAAGTTCTTTGTAGTTATTACTATTTATAATTTCAATATGTATGTTGCTTTTCCATTTAAATATGGGCAAAGTGGCTCACAACAGAGCAACAAAATGGCAAATCAATCGTTGCAATAACAATATAATAGAATCATAGAGTTGGAAGGGACCCTGAGGATCATCTAGTCCAACCACCTGCAATGCAGGAATATGAAGCTGTCCCATATAGGGGTCAAACCTTCAACCTTGTCATTATCAACACCATGCTCTAACCTACTGAGCTATCCAGGCTGGGTAAATCATTGTAAAACATAACAATAATCCAACAAATAACTCAGTTTGATTATATGAGCATTATAACACTTAAAATCAACATTAAAAACTATCAATTAATGAGAATATAATATAATAATTATATATAGGAATATAATAATCCTTTGAATGCAGTCACATGTCAACAGTAATATAACCAGCAGCCACTGAATAATATTGGTCACTGTGATTGTTCAGACAACTCTATGAGAGTTGAAAGAACATTAACTCAGTGCTATAAGTCCCACCTTCATATATAAAATACCATATTATATACCCATATTCTTCTAGCAGCACATCTAAGATCTGCATTTTTCACTTGAGAAGTGATTCCTTTCAGCAAAGCCAATGGCTCCCATACTCAGAAACCCTTTATTATAATGCAAAGTAGTTCTGAGCCCTGATCTTATCTATCTAATCTTCCGATAAGATGCAGTCTTGATTTCAAAATGTCTCTTAAGCTGCTTGTCCCTCTTTACTGAATAGCTAATCTATTCTGAAACAATTTTGGTTTTGATTCACATCTCCTTCTATATTTAGCCGATGAAAGGCAGAATGTTCAGTAGGTACTGGTGAGAGATATCCTTGCTATTAAATTCTGTGTCTTCTGCATGTTGAATCGGTATATTTGCAAAATTCTTTATCTTAAGAAGTGAGTCAAGAAAATTGGATCCATCAAAAAGACATGGAGTGTTACAGTTTAATCTTGTGAGCCGATGTGCCTGCAAAGACAGGTTTAGGATGGAGTGCAATGATTGCAACACAGGAACATAAAGTCAAAGCCTGTGACTTCGTTCTGGGGTTAATTCTGGTCCAGCATAATGTGCCAGAACAGCAACATGCACCAGCTCTACTGCACCAGCGACAGTCGCTGGTGAACTCTGTCTCAAAATAAGCACTGCTTCTTGTATTATTCTAGCAGCAAAACTGATCAGGCTATATGATAAAGCTCTCCAGAGAATACTTTTGTTGCACTCTGCATCCAAGTGGCAGATAGTCTACCCTGCATGTATTCATAAACCTAAAGAATGGGAATAGCACTGTCTGAAACAGATTGCAGAAGGGATTGGGGAATGTTATACCGACCAACACAAATGGATTATTGTCTCACTTCATTTTGTCCAACACTTGGGAGTAATCCAAGAAGACACATAAAACCTATATGAGACATGTCATGCTATTCTACTACTACTGCGGATGGAGAATGGTATTTTATTTGTCTGTAAAAGTATCGCCTACTCTTCTGAGCCAGATTCTCAGACCATTAACAGTTTCAGGACAGGCAAAAATCAGGTAGGTAAAGTTGGCAGGAAAATGTTCTGCCTACCATGCAGCTGTTGAAATAAAATGACAGTCCTATTACTGTTCAGGTTTGTGCATCCAGACACTCCGATATAAATAGAAAGGCTGATTCTTCTGTTGCCCTTCACTACCTTTCTCCACTGCCATTAATGCCTTTGTATTAGAGAGCCAGTGTGGTGTAGTGGTTAAGAGCGGTAGTCTTGTAATCTGGGGAACCGGGTTCGCGTCTCCGCTCCTCCACATGCAGCTGCTTGGTGACCTTGGGCCAGTCACACCTCTTTGAAGTCTCTCAGCCCCACTCACCTCACAGAGTGTTTGTTGTGGGGGAGGAAGGGAAAGGAGAATGTTAGCTGCTTTGAGACTCCTGAAGGGGAGTGAAAGGCGGGATATCAAATCCAAACTCTTCTTCTTCTTCTTCTTTTTGTATGGATTATTGCTGTATTCAATGTAGTCGCCTCATGAGCATTTCTCTGGGCTGTATTCAATGTAGTCGCCTCATGAGCATTTCTCTGGAGTAGAAAGAAGCAAAGTGCATGCTGGGAAGGGATTCCTCTTGTGCAGTGACTTCATAGGATTCAATCCTATGTCATTTGCATTCTCCACCATCTTGTACTGTGAATAGGAGTGCCTTTGAAGCTTTCAAAATGGCTGCCACACAGAAACAGAGACCAGTGTGCTTTCTTGTTTTGGAATAAGTTGAGGGCCTTTGAATGATGCAGAGCAATGTGTGTTTTCAAGCTTACTAGCCAAGCCTTCTTTCACAGCTTCGATATTCAGCACTGTAGCCTCAATCAAATATGTTTATCTGTTATATATCCTTTCTGACATTTTGGGGGAGGGGTGCACGTGCGCGCAACCCCCCCCCCCCCCCAGTAATAGCTGATAAAGGATAATGTCTTAAAAAACCAACAGCAGCAGCACACTGTCAGTGTCTGTTAAATCTTCTGTAATATTTCTTCTTCCCAGAGCTTTGTGGCAAAATAAACAAATGGCTGACAATTTATGCAGGATTTTATGTTCCTGTCAAGAACTCCGAGTTGTCCCTTTGTGGCATGAAAGAGGAGAAAATGACAGTGTAAAGGAAGACCAGCGGAAATGAACAGAATGCAGATGATGAATCAGATACTGAAGCTCAACTGCAAAGGACTGTTTGGCACCCATCTCCTATGCTCTCCTCCCTTCCCCTCATTGACGGAATGTTTCTCTCTATAAACATAGCCAACAGCTTCTTTATTGTGACAAAATGAAATATAGCCTTTGCCCTGTATAGGAAAGGAGAAACAAAGCCACCGGAAGAGAGTTTGAGCTGTGTCTGCCTGCAGAAATGATTTTGGGTTCAAAACATTGTGGTCTCATTCTTGGACCTGCCTTATATCAAATAAAACACCTGGGCACTGCCGTTACGATTGTGTGTAGACACAAACCCTTTATGCATGGTCCATAAACACTGGCTCACCAAGCTGAGCACAGCCTGTCAGTTGTCTGTGGCAGTTAGGGAGCAATGAGTCTCATTTTTCTAGTCTTAGGTTTGTTTCCACAAACATTTGCAATTTCTTCATAAAAGAAAACTAAGTACACATGACCATTCACATTTTCATGAACATTTCTTCCATTATGTACAATGTTGTACATAATTTTGCCTAGTATGTGCATTTATGCAATTAATTTTACCCCACTAAAATGAACTTCTGCATTGTATCATTTGTTGTAGAAAATGTGAATTTTGAAGGGAGATCTGTGTTCTTTCCTTAATTATTTTTAAGTGTTCTTTCCTACCCTCCAGAGCAGGAGAAAACAAGCTTGCTCCATCTTCCATGTGACAGCTTCCAGAGAGTAGTACTCGAACCAATGCCTTCAAGTTACCTGAAAGGAGATTCCAACTAAACATCAGAAAGAACTTTCTAATGGTAAGAGCTGTTCAATAGTGAAACAGACTCTCTCAGGAGCTTCCTCTGGACTCTCCTTCCTTGGAGGTTTATAAGCAGAGGATGCATGACCATCTGTCATGCATGATCTAGTTTAGATTCCTGCATCAAGATCCCTTCCAACTCTACAATTCTATGATTCTATGATATTTAGACCCATATTGTGAGCACATGGTATCTGAAGAGATAAAGAAGATGTAAAAGTATTTTACTTACAGCATTAATATAACAACAACAACATCCACTGTTGTCATTTCTTTGCTCTGAACATCATTTAGACTCTGGGAATAAAGCGCAAGGCATAGCTGTCAACCATCCCTTATTTGGCGGGAAAGTCCCTTATCCCAGCGCCGTGTCCCGCTGCTGTCCCTTATTGATGATGTCCCTTAAATTTCCTGGGTTTCAAACGAAGCAGCTCCTATCCCTCCCTCCCTGCTGGCCAGGGAGAAGGGAGGCTCCAAGTGTGTTGCTCGGCTGCGTTGCTCACCCAATAAGGAGTCTAAGAATGACTGGGGTGTGGAGCTTGCATGCCTTGTGCCGATCAAATCGGCCGCGTTGCCTGGGGACTCGCCTTTGCTCAGCGCTTCCCAGTGGAGAGGTGACTGTGGTTTTCCTTGCTGCATCCCCTTTGCCGGGTTGCTGCACTGTGGGAACCACCGCTTGAGGAGTCGTTTGGCTGCTGGCTGGGCTTTCTGCCTTTGGCTCGAAGGGGCTCAGAATTTGAACATACCTGTGCCCGAAAAGTCCCTTATTTTGGCTGCCGATCCCTTATTTTCGAGGCTGCTGGTCCCTTATTTTCAAATCTGTAAGTTGACAGCTATGGCACAAGGTTAAGAACATAAGAGAAGCCCTGATGTAACAGAGCAAAGAGCCACTTAGTCCAGCCTCCTCCTCTTCCCATAGTGGTCAACAAGATGTGTTGAGAAAGACATGGCACTGAATGCAGCCTAAATGATCGTTATAGAAGAGCCAGTGTGGTGTAGTGGTTAAGAGCGGTGGACTCATAATCTGGTGAACTGGGTTTGATTCCCCGGTCCTCCACATGCAGCTACTGGGTGACCTTGGGCTAGTCACACTTCTCTGAAGTCTCTCAGCCTCACTCACCTCACAGAGTGTTTGTTGTGGGGGAGGAAGGGAAAGGAGATTGTTAGCCGCTTTGAGACTCCTTCTGGTAGTGATAAAGTGGGATATCAAATCCAAACTCTTCTTCTTCTTCTAGAACCAGTGGATGAGAGCCAAACACTGCATAATCGTGCTACACGTTTAATTATCATCAACATCTCTTTCACAGCTTCCTGTCTCTGCTACCAGTCTGTCACTTCCATGCAGTAGTCAGTATTCTAGAAACTGCACCCGTGCCATCTAGAGTTTTTCAGTATCTGCCTCAGCTTCTCTAGAAAAGGTTGCCTATTTATCATGCTCACGTCCAGGGTTGTTTTGCTTGTGTGTTTTCTGTGTGGCTGTAATTCATGCTCAGCAATCTGGTTCCATTCTCAACTCACTGAGCTGGCAATCAATTCCCTGCTGTTATTTGGGTCAAAAGCTAGAATCTTTTTTTACGAAAAGGAACTATTAATATATTACAAATAAGTACTAAATCTGTTAAGTGGTGGCTGACAGATCACATTAAAACATGTGCCCTTAAGCGCACTGGAGCACTGCAAGTGACTTGTGATACATGATGTCATTATTGACCTCTGAGTTGTGCAATTTGTCAGAGAGGAAAAAATAGGAAATTTATTTCTATTCCCC